AGTTTTGTATAAATTTATTGTAGAGTGTTAAAAATATAATTAAGTTTTTCGCTTTCACAACTTCTAGTAATAAATAGTTTTTTTTGTTGGCTATTATATTTATGAAAAAATTATGTTGACCGTTAGATTTTTTGGATTGTTGTTTATATATCTTTTATTGTTGTCTTTCATAGTAGAATTTTATTAACATTGAAATTATAAACATTGGAGCATTATGCCAATTTATTACATCGAAGTTATTAATAGTTCTGTATAGTTGTATCACATCACCTCTTGATCTTCTAACTTTTAATGTAGAGAGAACAATTTATCGGTGAGTTTTTACATGATAAATCTTTTAAACTATAAACACAAATTGCTCTATGTTGTTCAATCATAACAACATGTTTCCATATATGTAAACTCCTTAATGGCCTTCAATATTCAAGGTGATATCTAAATAATGATGTACTAATAATGTTATATTTCTTTTTTCTAAGTATTTCAAGAAGTGTTTGATTTGTCCCAATGTCAAACTTCCAAAGTCATTTTTTCTTTATAATTTCATTTTAAAAACGCTTTCATTAAAAGTTACAAAAAATTGTCAACAACGATGCTATTGAGCTGATTTTTATTTTAGTATAGAGCATATATTTTTATATATTTTGTTTTAGTATGTATGCTCTAAATTTTCTGCAACTGTGTTAATAAAATTCCATTTCACAGCTTTGATGCCTTTTACTTATTTTGTTATTTTATATGAAAAAACTTTAAATAAAATAATTTTATTTATTAGGTTTAATAGTATTGATGTTTTGTTTTTAGATTTAGTTTATGATGATTAATGTGCCACCACATAAATGTAGCAAATAATAATGAAGCTATGGCAATTAATGTAATCTTGACATAAAAATGACAAATCTCAAGTTAAATGGTTCATCTAAATCTGGTAAGTTTACACTTAATCAAATAAGTTATTAATATTTCTGTTTTTAGTGCTTAAGTGAAGGAAAAGTTTTCCCTTAAATTTACTTTCACTAATGACTAGATTTACTGTGTTTTATAAAATAGTTTCTGTGTATAAATTTATTTAGACAAATTGAAAAACATTTTAATTTTTTTTTTTTTTTTTTTTTGTTTATTTTTATTTATTTTTGCTTAATCAAAATAATTTTTACAATAAAAGAGTGAATAAAATTTTGTCAACACATACAATAATTTGTTTATAATTTTGTCAACACATACAATAAAAATTACAAATTTTGTTAACTTAACAATAAAAACGCAGATCATAAGAACGCAGTCATAAGATCTTGTTATGGAAAACTGGCTGAATAGATTTTAAATAAAAAAATGTTTAAGACTCTTTAAATTAAATATCTTAAGAAATAAAATATCATGAAATGTCAAATATCAAGACATAAAATTTTTAATGGAGTTTTGGTGCATAATAATTTAAGTTCCACATGTTTTAATAAATCTATTTGTAAGTATCCTGCATTCGGTTGTAATTGTAAGTTTTCATTGTGATATTATATTTTAGTTCACAAAGTTATAAAAAGATCCTTAACTCAAGTCTATGTAACTATGGTTTGTTGTTAATGGATTGAACTCTTTCGTCAATAATAAAAATAATTGTTTTTGTAACATAATAACCATGTTGCTTATAAGTTGTGACCATTTTGTATATATTTTATTATTATGTTGTATAAGTATATATGTAATAAATCATTAAGTTGTACTTATGTTTGTTTTTATTTTACTAAAGTTAAAACGGATGCAAACAATAAAGAAGTAAAGAATAACCATATTAATTATGTTGGCTCAAAAGAGCTATAATTTTACTAGTCTATAACAAAATAACACAATACATAAAGTATATAGAATATCATACAAAACATATATATTTATATATATTCTCCATATTTCATATTATCATAACATTCACCCTCCTCTTAAAAGTGTTCAGGTGTATTTATAAGTTGAGTTTTTCTGGTGCTTTAGAAATTCGTGAAGATCTACGAGGAGGCAGAGTACTTTGCTCTACAGGATTCCCTCTGCTTTCTAGTTCCTCTTCGGAGACTAACGGAGTTTCATTGCTACCATTAGGGGTTAAGGGGTAGTTATCAATAGCTGTTATTTCTAAATTGTCATTTGATGTTTGTACTATAGGAGTTGTTCCGATAGGAGCCAGCTGTTTTGTAGACACTGTAGTCTCATGACCATTAGGAAATCTCACAATGGCATAATGAGGATTTGCTTCAATGAGCTGAGCCTCATTTACTGAATCTTCGTCTTTACTTTGCATTGCATTTCTTTTTATAAGTACAGGTCCAGGGTTAACAAGCCATGAAGGAATTGAAGACCCAGATGATGATCTTCTTTGAAAATTAAAAAAACGTTCATGTGGACTACAATTAGTAGAAGTACATAATAGAGATCTTGTAGCATGAAGTGCATCAGGCAAAACTCTTTTCCATGATGATATAGGCAGATTTCGAGATTTCCGAGTAAGTAATATCGCCTTCCAAATAATTCCATTGTATCTTTCAACTTGCCCATTTCCATTCGGATTGTAAGGGGTTGTTCTACTAGTTGCGATCCCTTTTGATAAGAACCAGTGCTTTAATTCAGAAGACATTAATGAGGATCCACGATCCGAATGAACATAGCTAGGCATACCAAACATTGAAAAAAGATCAGCTAAACAGTTTATTATTGTCTGAGTTGTCATATCTTTCACAGGATAAGCAAATGGAAAACGTGAGTATTCGTCTACAATTGTTAGCATATACTGTTCAGGGGTTGAAGAAGGTAATGGGCCTTTGAAGTCAATAGATATACGTTCGAATGGCTGAGTCGCCTTAATCAGGTGCACATCATTTGGGCGGTAGTACTTGGGTTTTATTTCTCTACATATTCTACAATCCCTACATATTTGTTTTACATCTTCTACTGAATAAGGGAGGTTTCTTGATCGAATAAAATGATGGAAGCGAGTAACACCAGGATGGCAAAGTGCAGCATGCAAATTATATAAAGATTCTGAACTTATTGCTGCACATTTAACTCGAGTAAATGTATCTTGACCACTGTTACATTGGCCAGGACGATAATGGATATCATAAGAATATGGAGACAAAGCTATTCTCCAACGCATTATTTTATCATTCTTTATTTTACTGCTTGATTTATAATCATACATATACGCCACAGATCGTTGGTCAGTGATGAGAATGAAATGTCGACCCAAAAGAAAATGACGCCAATGATTTATGGCTTCAACTATCGCTTGAGCTTCTTTCTCCACTGATGAATAGTATTGTTCACTCTTGAAGGGTACGTGAATGGAAGGCAACAGGTCTTCCATCCTGATTAAGTGTGGCGGATATGGCAAAATCAGAAGCATCAGTCTCCACAGTCAAAGGTATATTCTCATCAATGGTTTGCATGGAAGATTGAAGCAGTTCATTTTTTAATGTTTCAAATGCTGATATTTGCTGCTGATTGAGTGGAAATTGAGTAACAGAGTTTAAAGGTCTAATTTTATCTGAAAACTTTCTTATCCATTTTGCATAGTACCAAAACATTCCAATAATTCGCTGTAAAGGCTTTCCATTATCAGGTGGGGGTAACTTGATGAGAGGAGCAAGTCTCTGAGGATCTGGTTTTAAAGAGCCATACGATATACGGTAACCTAAAAAATCTAAAGTCTTAGTTGAAAATACACACTTCTCTTCATTAAATGTAATTCCAGCATCAATGGTAGCTAATCTGAACTTAAGTAGATTTTCAACATGTTCTTTCTGACTATTACCGCATATTGTAATGTTATCAATGAAAGGAAAGCAGTCAGTTAGTTTGTATTTTCTAACAAAGTCATCTATTTTGCGTTGAAAGCATGCAGATCCATTGGTAACTCCAAAAGGCATTCTAGTATATTGCCACAACTTATTGTCAGCTTCAAAAGCAGTATATGGTCGATCTTTTTTTGATAAAGGGATTTGGTAGTATGCTGAGCGAAGGTCGAGAGTACTATAAATTTTGTATTTAAAAATTATATTCACAATCGTTTCAATCTTAGGTAGAGGATATGCATCTAATTGAGTATATTTATTAATAGTTTCAGAGTAATCAACAACCATGCGACGTTTAGTCTTTTCATTTACTACTAAGACCTGGGCACGCCAAGGTGAATTACTAGGCTCTATTATTGCTGCTTGAGTCAGGCGATGGATTTCAGATTTAATAAATTCTTTATCTCTTTGAGAATAATTTCTAGATCTAGTGGCAATCGGTCAACAATCTTGCGTGAGATTAGCAAATAATTCAGGAGGTTCAGTTTTCATTGTTATTAAAGCAGCAAATGTTATGGGTGGTCTTTTCCCACCATACTTGATGGTAATACTTTCATGCAACTCTTGAAAATCTGTGCCAAGAATAACATCTACACATAAGTTATCCAGCACATGCAACTTGACTTTGTTATATATTTTGTTTTGAAGAGTTATTGAGACATAACAATATCCATCTAATTTTGCAGATAAGGCAGCTGATGCCATTCCAATTACACTCTGTTCATAAATAATATTTAAATGGAGTAGAGTCTCTAGTTTGTTGCTTATAAAACTTTTGTTTGTACTTCCACTATCAATTAATGCTTCTGCTTTATATCTATCATTAATAATGATGTTATGACAAACTCTGAATAGAGAGTTTGCTGAAGCTGATATGGTGGCACAGAAGTAATCATCATCAATTTTAGGAATAGTAGCAGAAACATTAGATGATCTGCAAAGTTTTTCAAAATGACCAATCTTTTTACATTTGTGACAGATAGCTTCGCGAGCAGGAAATTTAGTACGTGGATGTCTTATGTTTCCACAAAACCAGCACAATTGTTTTGATTTTGCTGTAGCAGCTAAGTGATTATCAGTCATGGACTGTTTTTGTAAAGGTGATTTGATTTCCTGAATAGAGGCAGAGGTAGGTATAGTCAATTGTGAGTATAAGTTTGAGTTTTATTTAGCCACGTCTAAAGATCTAGCTTGGTCAAAGGCTGATGAAAGGTCTAACATTTTGTTTTCTAGTAAACATTGGCGTATACTATTGGAGAGTAAGCCATTTATAAACGCATCGCGAATCATTTCAGATTTATATTGCTCAGCTGTAACAACAGTGAACTTACAGTACTTAGATAAAATTTTAAGTTCATTGAGGAATTGATCTATTGTTTCACTTGGTTTTTGCTTCCGTGTTGACAAAATGTGTCTGGCAAATATTTCATTCTTTGGTTTTATGTAGATAGACTCGAGAATACTTGTTGCTTGTTCAAAATCATCACACTCTGATATGAATTCATATACATTAGATTCAATATGGTTTATTAGGAGATTAAGCTTAATGAAGTTATTATCTACTGTACTTACAAAATTGTTAAATGTTCTTAACCAATGGTTGTATGTTTTTGCTGCATCTGCTGAGTTTGGATCTATACCAAGTCTGTCAGGTTTCATGAATCGATCCATCTTTCTTTTATTTCATAATATTATTCTAGCTCTTTTGATTGTAAAGAATAACCATATTAATTATGTTGGCTCAAAAGAGCTATAATTATACTAGTCTATAACAAAATAACACAATACATAAAGTATATAGAATATCATACAAAACATATATATTTATATATATTCTCCATATTTCATATTATCATAACAATAACGTTACAAATTGAAGCAGAAATTTATAACGAACCATGTTGACGATTGGATATGAATCGCAGAAAAGCACCATTATCGAATGGTTATGAATCAAATCTTTGTATTATAATTACTATTTGTCGCGTAAATGTATTCTGAAATTTAAGTTTTTCAAATTTGTACATAATAATTAAACTTGTCAATAATCACGTGTCCAATACATTTTATTGTCCTTAAAGTATTCAAAAATACGCCAATTTTTAACCAAGTATTACAGTTGGTTCTACTAAAAACAACTTTAAATATTTAAGAAAACGGGGTCAAAAAGGAAAATATAGGCACTTCAAACAGGATTGCCCAATGAAAATCAATAACAATTCCATGCGGGACCCAATTAGTTAACAAAGACAAAATCACAATTGTACGATGTAAAAATGGCTAATCATTGTTCTGCCAGTTCTTGTCCTGCCCTGGCTAGCCGATGTTTTGCCATCGCTGGCTAGCCACAGCTAGTCCATGAAAAATCCTTAGAGCGAAACGGAAACCGAAGCCGGTCCAGCGCAGCAGGACACAGGACCACTGCAGGACCTTTATATCCTTGCTATCTGGGTAAAGTTGGATGTTGGGTACTGGGTAAGGTTTAACACACCCTATCAAAATTTCATTCTTTTAAATCTTTCAATCTTTAATAAAATAAGTAAATCTATTATATAAAATAAAAATTTAATTTCAATACTTTGAAAAACAGTAACAAATGGTGTATAAATCGCTTTTACGGGAGGCGGCGTACCTGCACTTCACCCCACCCCCCTCATCCTCTGCCCTAAACCTAAAAATAAATTTTATGACAATTTCACAAAAATGTTAAAATGATTTTTTAAACAGAGAGAAATTAGTATAAAAAACTATTTTACCACAAGATGCTTCTGAGTATTCATTTTTTCATGTAAAGGGACGGAATATTTACTTATAATACAAGCAACAAGTTTTTTGAAATATAAAATGTACTTAACTTTTGTCTTGGCTTTTAGTAAATGATTAAATTTTTAAATTCCATTAATAAACAAAATTAAATTGTTTTTAACAACAGACGCCACGTGAAGGTAAATCTGTGAAGATAACCCTGAGCAGTCTATCAAAAAAATTCCAAGCCACAAAACTTGCGGTACCTATTTACAAACTACACAATTTGCGGTACTAATTTGCAAGCCAAAAAACTTGCAGTTCTAATTTGCAAGCCACAAAACTTGCGGTACTAATTTGCAAGCATTGTTAAATAACATATTTAGATTAAGAAAATGCTATCTCTTCTGGTACAACATCAGCAGCAAGCTAAAATGTTTTCATGCTTCAACTGCTTCAATTTCAGTTTGATCTTGTTTCCAGTAAGATATAGTGTAAATTCTGTCTACTTGTTTTTTGTTTACTTTTTCAACTCTACCATCATAAATAACAGACTTTGAATAGTCAGAATCATACCATTTGTGACAGAGTTTTCTGCCAACAATTCTTTCTAACATAACATCATCTAAATCATCAAATTGCTTGGCAGATAAGTGTTTATATAAAGTTACATTTTGATAATAGTTAAGACACGCTAATGACGCTCTAACATTCTTTTTTCGTTTGTATTCATTTTTCCAAAACATCTTTTACTACCTGGATTTCAGCTATATGATCAATTGTTGTATCTTCAGAAGATACATAAAACTTTTTCATCCGTGGTCCAGTCAGAATTTTTTCTAATATCCCGAGCACACACATTTATTTTATAACTGTTGCATTGCAAAATGCTGCTTGCAGAGCTGCTTGTAAATTACCACATTTTACTGTTCCATTGGTAATAATATGTCAAAAATCAGCGTAGTGATTTATAAAAATATAACATTTATGAAAAAGAATGTAAAGACGATTTCCTCGATATCTTGGAATGATACATACTTGGAATGTACATCTTGGTAGTTTGTTGTGGTCTAAAAAACTTACAAACCCTTGTGGATCACCTTTGCCATTTTCAAATTTGATCTTATTTATAGCCAAAACAATTTTGACTGTTATACAATCTTTTCCAAACAATTTACAATTTTCTGACTCTAGAGACTTCGAAGCAGAACGACATTCAGTTGTAATTGTGTCAAGTGGGCGCAAATGACAATACAACTTATTTAGATTTTTACCCCAAGTTGTTCAAACTTTGCTTATAGTGAGATGGTTAACTGAAACTCTGTCTGACATTGTGTTTGAAATATTTGCAATAATTAAAACACGACATTTGTCATAGCTACGTAAATAAAAATATGAATAAATTAAAGATAGATGATCTACTGCCTCACAAATTTGATTTTCATAATCATCAGCTGTCTCTTTTGCAATTGGTTGAGAGCAATAACAAGGCATTTACCTTTGGATGTAAGATGAATGGTGTTGACATGTACACCCTTTTGTGTTGTTGCATCAAATCCAAGAGTTAGATGAGAATTACTGAAAGCCCATTTCTGCTATAGTTTTAAGCTCATGAGTCATTTGCTCAACAAGTTGGAACACTAGCCATTAACATGCTATAAATTATCATTCTTGTTTGTAGAGGGTAAGTCTTTTTATTTTCTGACATATTCATAATTGAAATTTTGCCCCTATTTATCTGGTTCATATCATTTTCTATTTGAGAAATAACGATTTTATTTTTATTAATATCTTTATTAAGTTTCACCTTGATTTGCATAGAATTTTGTTTTTCTTTTACTTTTAATCCGTTTTTGTAGCTTAAAGATTTTGAATTAACCTACTTTAATGATATGTTTTTATTTCTTTTAATGTTTAGTCTGAAAACGTTTAACATATTATTTAAGGCTGTTTTCAAAAATGCTATTTTTTTTTGGTGGTCGAGCTTTTTAACTAAAAAGATAAATATGATAATCTGTCTCTGGATTTTTTTTTTGTAGGAGTAAGTTTTTCCCTTGATGCATGGTGACTTCTTTTTGGTAACTTTTACAGAGAAAGTGTCTTTATTATCAGAGGAGAAAGTGTCTCTATTAATAGAGGAAATATTGTCATTATTAACTAGAGGTGAATTAGTAATGCGTTCAGAGTCGGACACAACTGAAAAATCTGAAAAAGAAATTAATAAATTATTCTGATTAGGTTGCAATGTTTGCATCAAGACTGGTATATCATATGCAAAGGGCTCGTTACAAAACTTAATAAAATGATTAGAATCCCTTAAACAATTTCAAGTCTATTTTTTTTGACATCTTAATAACATATTTGACTTTATATTTAGTAGCAGCTATGCTAAATAATTCATTGACTTGCTGACAAGTTTTAATAATTGACTCCATTTTCGGTAAATAAATAAATTACATGCCCATTTTTACAGAATGCATTTTCTTCAGCGTGTTGTGTAAAGTTTGTATCTAGATACTTAAATGAACAACAAAACACACAGCTTATCTTTTTTGGACCCATATTTCCCTGAATGTTTTTGAAAGCTCCTTGTCATTGATCTTCAAGTAATGCCTCTAATTCGTTATTTTTAAACTTTTACTTAACATCAGAATGTTCTTCGTCTTTGAAGACAAAGTTACCACCCTTGAATTGTTGAAACTATCTTATGCATTTTTGTTCTTTAATAGCATTGTCGCTGTATGTTTTCACTGATATTATATGCGCCTCTGCTGTTGTCTTTCGGTGGAAGTAATGTAAAAGAATTCCCCGCAAAAACGGTTTTGTAGGCACGAACTCAGACATGTTTAAAATTTTGGATAAAAACCTCTTTATACTTCGGCAGTTAAAATTAGACTGATGTTTGCAGCCTAAGGCTTTAGCTTAAAATAAAGTTTATTTTAGAACGACAAAACGCTAATTTTTAATGCATACTCCCAAAACTAAAGAATAAAAAAGAAAAAGTTCTTTAATTTAAACTCCCCTAATATTTTCTGTCCTTATCTCTAAAAATTTCTAAACATTCTTTGTTGAACTTGAAATCAATAGTCTAGTAATTTATATTGAGCTTTATTTACTTTTAACTGTTTCATTCTTATTTTATTAGTCATTTTAGTAATTATTATAATATAATAGATAAGTTCATTTAGATGTGTCATAATTTTTTTTTTCCTCTTATGTGTAACGTCTGTAATGTAAATCCTTCGTGTAACAACTTCGTTTACAATGTAAATACTTTGTGTAACAATATATTGAAATGTAAGTCGTTTGGCAAACAGCTTTGTTATAAATATACACTCATTTAAAAAAACTGTTTTTTTCCTTAAAAAGTTTAATAATAGATATATAAATAAAAATAATCTCAGTTTATGCTATAAATTTAGAAACAATATACCTCAAACAAACTACCCAGTGTGCATTAGACGTCCTTAGACATTTAACAGACGTCCATAGGACCCTAACCCTAACCCTAACCCTGACGTCAAGGCGTCCATTGACGTCTGTTAGACGTCTTCGGACGTCAACTGCGCACTAAGTAGTTGCTAGATTCAATATTAGACTGGACTCTACTTTTACATCTGGCAAGTATCTTATTTTACGGGTAAAAAATGTTATACCTTTAATTTTCAGCAATTTTATCACTGCAAAACTTGCAAACTAACAAGTTTACTTATAAGAACTTGAACAAGAAACAGTAGTAAGTTTTCTAAGTTCCGTTTACCCCATAAAAAAATGTTTGAACCTTGCCTTTCAATCATTGGAAAGGAAAAGAAACACAAATGTGGAAATTAAGTATTAACTGTAAAATATTAGAAAAACTTCAAACCCCAACTAAAGTTAAAGAACAGTTATCTCAGAAAAGGTATAAGATTAAGAATTAAAATAAA